ACATTTTTGTGTAGAAAAACAGAAAAGTATGTCATGACTTTCCCAACAACCTAATAAATAGTATAACCTGGGAGTTACGTCCTTCTTGGCCTATTAGATATAGAGCCATACCATCTCGCCTCAGATTCCTCCCAGGAAATTGGAATTTCTCTGATTAGTTGCCACCTATGAGCCCGAGTTTGATTCATCCTTTGTGTTATATGAGTTGCAAGTATATTTTCCCACACTGTCTTATCTTTCAGCTTTGTATTTGCTGTGTTTTTTTATACTGCAGAAATTTATTTTGTGCAAATGACCACATAAATTATCCCTTCCTTTCTGATTTGTGTTTTGCACATCTTATTTAAGCTCTCCAGCTTCACCTCTCTGCCATAAGATGATTTTTTATACTGGCTTCCCATCTGTATCTATGTTTCTCCCTCTATCTCTCTCTATATTTATATATTTCTTGGATCTTTGGTATTGTGTGTGTGTGGGTTTTTTTTTTTTTCCCTAAACAAGAGAAATAATGCTGATGGTATATCTCCTCTACTTTAATCCTAGTAAATTAGCAAACGCACCATTACCAATCACACATATACAGTAGTTCTTCAGTTTTTATGTGGTTTTCATTAATGAAAAAGTTCAAGAACTTTGAGTGGTAAGCTAAGGAGTGTAATAATGTATTTTACAGGCGAAGAAAAAGGTGAAAAAACAGAAAAAAAAGGAAGCCAAGGGGCCGTTTCCAAAGTCAAAGGTCAAGTAAGTACCCTGAAGCCATATTCTATAAATTCCTGGGGCCTTCTCCAGTAGTCATCATCTCCCAGTCAGTTATTTACTAATTCTTTCCTTCATTCCCTGATCTAGCACATAGGAGTGATTGGTCACAAGAGAAATTTCCTGAAAGACAGATTGACTGGCTATAAATCTGTTTATATCCATCCATTTATTAATCTTCCCAACGTCTAGGCTCTATCTAGGTGCTGAGGGATACCTAAGTGAATAAGGTAATCATAGACCCAACAGCAAGTAGGAAGTTGGCAAGGGGAATAAGCAGATAACAATAAAGTAATGAACACTATGCTAGGGGAACTATGTGGTGTTTTAGGAACACATAAGAAGAGCCTCCAACCCTTCGTAGGGAAGGTCAGGGGTCAGGAAATTCATAGTGTCCTGTGTCGCACCAAAGGAGATATCAACATTCACTCATGCGTTTATTCCACAGACATTTATGGAATCTGTTATATGCCACATGCTGTGTTAAAAACAACAACAACAATATATTTTTGCTCTAGTATGTGTGCGCTCACCAGAGAGACAGAAAGAGACAGACAGAAAGTAAGAAATCATTCCCCAAGGGAGATGGCCATGCCGCAGTCCTTTCTCCTCCATTCTTCTCTTGGGATTTTGGGCATACGTGAACATGGCCTGACCTGAGTTTTAAGCCACCAGGTCCAGGACTCAAACTATGGTAGACTATGTGGGAGTCCAACGACATGACCGTTATGCCATGTGCTGGTCCCAGGAACATATTGATAAGTACTGTAGATACTTTGTGAATTCTCACCCATGTCTATTGGGTGCTTCCTATGAGCTAAATCCTAAGAGCAGAAGAAAGGCAGTGAATTAGATGTGTTTCCAGACTTGGAGATTCATAGTCCACTGAAAGAGTGCCCCCCATCATGTTTGTTAGTAATTTTTTTTTAATGCTAGAGTGCATGTGTGCACATGTAAGTGACAGAGAGAGGGAGAGAGAGAAAGCATTCCCCTCAACAGGATCTTGTTATACCACAATCCCCTTTCCCCAGCCCTCCAGCTTCTCAGGATCCTGGGCACCTGAGCAGGCACTCTGTATGTTTCCAGGCCAACCCAGGGATCCAGACTTAACATTGGCAGGTGCCTTCCAGCCTGGCAGGGCACCAAATTTTATCACTGTGTCACATTGGCTGGGCTAGTTGTTAGTAACCTTATAAGGAAGAGGGGTTGGGCTGAGAAGAAGATACTGAAGAAAGTCCCAGGGCCAAGTAAAAGCAATTATTTCCTTTCTGGAAGGTCCACTCAAGGCTTTGGACTGGGTCTAGAAACAAGATTTTTTTTCTATCCATTCTATTCTTTGCCTCATTTAATTCTCACTTTAATTTTCTAGGGCATGGCATTTTTACCCTCATTTTATACTTGATAAATCTAAAAGAAGGTCACGAGACTTAGTAGGAGAAATTAGACTCAGATTTAAGCTTTCTGTTTTCAAAATTGTTGCCCTTCCTCCTACCACTCTTTTCATGTTTGTCAGTTCTGGGAAGCCTTTTCTCAGGACACCTGGGTCCTAGCTTTCCATACTGCTCCTTCCTTATACTGAACTCTGCCCAGATCCTCCATGTTGTGACCACATTTTTCACATGACCTCTCTTCTCCCGGCTGGGGACATGCAGGTTTCCACATCTCAGCCACTGGAGCCAGGACTCAGGCTGTGGTTGGCCTTGTGGGATCTCAGCCATGTGGACTTTGGTTCCCTATGTGCAGCACTTAGCCACCACACTGTGGACAAGTGTCTTCTTAAATGTCCCCAGGTACCTTTTGCACCCTCCCAAGTCCTGAGTCCAGCCCTGCTCTGCACTTCTATCTTCCCTTCACCTTCTCTCCCTCTACTGTTTTGCTTTCTCTCCTTTTTCAAAGCCAAACTGCTTGGAAAACTTGCTTGCATCTCCTCTGTGCACTTCCTCACTTTCCATTCACCCTTCCAGGCATAGCCAAGGTCCAGCTTTAACTCCGCCCTTCCCCTGAAACTGGCCTGCAGTGGGCCTAGCCAATAGTTCTGCTACTTTCCATCTTCATTTTCCTGACTTTGCTGATCTCACCTTCTTTCACATAGCTTTCTCTGCCCTTGTCTCCCCCTGGCAGCTCCCTGTCTCCCTCCTAGGTTACTTTTCCTGCTTCTCTAAAATCTCTTTCCGAGTCTTCAGGACCTTTTCCTCCATTGTCTGCACATAAAACGCTCATTCTTCCAATTGATCTTGTTCCTCTTTTTCTTCTCCCTTCTTCTTTTCCTTCGTCCTTCTCTTCCTCTCTCCCTTTCTTCCTTCCATTCATCACCATAGACCTGTGTCAGCTGCCCTCTAGGTAACTATAGCACTCCCATAACGGCAATCCCAGTTGCCAGCCACTTTGATCTAGTGCTATTTTTATCAGGCCTCACTTGCTAAAGCACAGTTTGGATCATGGCTCCACCCAGCTCAGAAATTGTCCGCGGCTCTGTCACCTACGAAATGAAGCCCGAGTTCCTAGTCTGGTTCCAAAGGTCCAGAAGGAGCAAACACTCTCCTCCCTGTCCAGATTCACTGTCCAAGACTCCCAAACACACATCCTTCCCCTTTCTGGGTCAGGTTGTTTCTTTACTGTGCACACATGCCCTCTATCCCATGGCCCTTTCTGTTTGGAATGTTTATTCTACTCTCTCAGCAAACTCAATTCATCTCTCAAATCCTATTTACCTAATTCATATCTCATTATTGCATATTATCTTCCCTAAAATGTGAGCTCTCTCTTTGAACTCTGTTCAAGCAAAGCCAGCAAGCACTTAATGTGTGTCAGGCAACGTTTTTCTCACATGACCCTCTCATCTGTCTATTAAGGTAGATGTTATTACCCCCATTCTACAGGTGAGAAATCTGAGGCTCAGGGAGTAGACTAACTTGTGCAGTTGTAGACAAGGAAAGACAAAGCCAAGATTCAAACCAGTTATATCTGACCCCAAAGATAGTACTCCAGTATTCCTCTGATTATAAGATTGAATTGAACCAAAGAAGCCAGGATCTTGTTTCCCTCCTCATAAAAATAGCCAGCCCAGGGACCAGCAGATGGCATAGTGGTTATATTGGTCGACTCCCACGTAGTTGACCAGAGTTGGAGTCCCGGACCCAGCAGCTTAAAACTAATGCTGGGTATGTGAGTGTGCATGCCCAAGATCCTGAGAGGAGAGTGGAGGAGAAGGGATTGTGGTGTGTCCATCCCTTTGGGGGGTGATTTTTCACTTTCTGTCTCTCTGGCAAGTGCACGTACGCTATAGCAAAAATCTCTCTCTAAAAAAAATGAAATAAAATAAAATAGCCAGCCTGTTTTTAAAAAGTTTCTTTCTTTTTTTTTTTTTTTAATGAGAGAGAGTGAGAGGCAGAGAGAGAAAAAAAAGAGACTCATACCCAAATAGGTTCTTCATACTGCAGTCTAACCCTAGTCTCATTCAGCCAGGAATATGAGCACCTATGTGTGCACCAAGCATGTTCCAAGGATCCCAGGATGTGAACTCATGACTTTCCCATGTGGGTCTAGTTGTATTAGCACAGTGCCACCATCTGACCTCTGGCCAACCCATTTCTGAGGCATGGTAGTGAGCCTCTATGGCCTAGGGACAGGATGTGTGCAGGCTGTGGCAGTCCCATGGGCTCTCAGCTACAGTGGGATGAGAGACCTCCATGGCACCTTCTTACTCTCCTGCCTTCCTGATTTTCTTGCCTGGTCCTCAGGGAGATGGCCTCCTCAGGAATCTACAAGCTGGATGATGGGAAGCCGTACCTGAACAACTGCTTTCCAGCCAGAAGTCTGCTCCGGATGCCGGAGGAAGGTCAGGTGACTTCTCAGATTGCCACGCTTTCCTCAAGCCCAGCTCCTGCTTTAGACTGTTTCCCACATCTGCTTCTTCCTCACCAGCCCTTTCATGACTGTCCCCTGCCCCACCCAATCCTACCTCCTCCAATGCAACTCCTCCCAGCAGCCTTAGTGGGACTGCTAAGGCACGCATTTCACCACAGTGCCCTCATCTGTTTAGAGACTCCGCATTGGCGACTCCTTTTCCTGGCATTCCATGCGATTCTGAGTCTAGCCTGACCCCATGCTCTGCTGTAGCCCCATTCCTTTGTTCATGCTCTGTTCCACAGAGCTCTCATTTCATGTAGCATTTTTTAATGTCCTGAATATTCCAGCCCTTATTGAAGTTAGCCAAACTTCCCAGCCTGTCAAGCCCAGCTCTCCTCCCACTTTGTCCCGTAAGAAAAGTTGGACCACCCCAGCCCTCGGTGCTCATCCTCCCCTGTGCTCTCTCTTTCTGACCATGTCTCTCATTTGATGAGTAATCTTATTCTGCTCAGCTCTTTAGTAAAATGACTTGAACCCAACTCAGTCAAGTATTGGGCTGTCAGAAAAGTCAAGATGTATTTTTTTCTATGTAAAAATGCATCCTGAATTTTCCAACAACCCCATACCTTTTTTTTTAGATGGCTTTTTCCTATAGGGTGTGAGCACTTGCTGGAGAGACAGAGAGACAGAAAGTGAGAAATCACACACACACACACACCCGGGTTAAAGCCATGCCATAATTGCTTCATCTCCATTTTCCTCTCAGGACTTTGGGCACGCACGCACTCGCACTCAGTGTCAGTTTCAAGTTTCTGGGTCTAGAACTCAAAATGTAGTTGGCCATGTGGGAGTCTAGTTTATTAACCACCATGCCACCTGCCGCCCTCTCCCTCCAAGTACTTTTTCAAATGTTTATCTAGTTAAAAACACCTCTGCAGCAGGGACTCCTAATACTGTGTAGAGCTCCGTAGGTGGAGCCCTAGCATTCTCTGGATTGGATTTGTTGCTTTGAGAGGGTATGGTGAGGGAGATGTTCACCTGTTTACTCCAGACTTACTGGTTATTCTGTACACAGACTACTGGGAGAACCTTCTCCATCTGTCCTCCCCACTTCCTTTTTAAAAACTTACTTGTTTGCTTATTTATTTAGGGGGTGGGAGGGTGAAAGAAAGGCAAGCATCCTTAACAGGGCCTCTGTCACCCAGTCTTTCAGCCAGCCAGGATCATAGGCAGTCACATTCACACTTGGGGTGTACGGGTCAACCCAGGAACCAAACCCCGATCTTCTGTATGTCTTCTTGCCTTGCAGAGCACGGCACTACTACTGTGTGTGCCACTGCTGCTGGGCCTGACTGCCCCACTTCTCACAAGAATGAGCCTGTTTTTTCTAATGGAACTGTCAGTGTGATCTCTCTCTCTCTCTCTCTCTCTCTCCCCATACATAGATGGAGAGGCAGATCTAAATATAGAAGTGTGTATTTGTTTGTGTTGGTATACGAGTGTATATTTTCTAGTCTGCTGAGAGCAGTGACACCTCAGTAACAGAACATACCGGGTGCCTAGATTTTGGTTTCTACACACCATTCTCCAATGAAAGGAGAAAGGCTTCCTTGGAGAAATAGTTGTTTGCAGGACTGAGACAGGGAGAATACAAGCTGAGCCTGGAACATCTTGTGGTGTCAGAGAGTAAAGAAGTGCTCAGAAAAATGATGGGGTGGGTTGAAAGGACACAGGAGCCAACATGAAGATGCTCCCAATGGTTAAAGCTGGGACAATCTGAGCAATGAAATAAATAATAATAGAATTGGGTTCTGAAGCATAGAATACATAAATATTTGTGAGTCCATACTGTTATAAGTAAATATTTGAATACATTAAAAAAGTGGGGGAGGAGGCTCTTCCTTATGTTAGAATTCTACTTAATAAATGTAGAAGGAATGAGGGAAATAGAAAAATCATTATTCAGATATCACGACAATATTTTTTTAAAGAATTATTTATTTTATTGATTCACTCATTCATTTTTAATTTGACCAGAGAGAGGCACAGAGAGAGAGGGAAAGTGAGAAAGCAAGCCACCAGGTCTGGTGGTTGGTCATGTGGGAGTGTCCAGTGCCTTAACCACCATGCCACTTGCTGACCCCACAGCAATAATTATTTTTTAACAATTATTTTACTTAACTTATTTATTTATTTATTTTAATTTGAACAGAGAGGGACAGAGAGAGAGAGAGAGAGAAGTGAGAAAGCAAGCTGCCAGGTCCGTGACTCAAACTGTGGTTGGCCATGTGGGAGTCCAGCGCCCTTAACCACCCCACCACCTGCCAGCCCCACAGCAATACTTTCTACAGGTAAGAACTATCTATAGATGTTGTATCAATCAGGGTTCTTCGATAGGAGATGGATTTCCTTTTTTCCCCCCAAGGAATTGGCTTATGTGATTATGGGTGATGGCAAGTCTAAAATTTGTAGGACAAGATAGCTGGCTGGAAACCCTTAGGGAGGAGATGATGCTGCAGTCTTGAAGCAAAATTTCTTCCTCCAGGAAGTCTCCAGTTTTGTTCCAAGGTCTTTCAACTGATTGGATAAGGGCCACTCACATTATCCAGAATAATCTTTTACTTAACGCCAACTAATTATAAAAATCAATCACACTTACAAAATACTGTCAAAGAAACCCCTAGATCAATGTTTGATTACATAATTACACATTACACCCTAGTGGAGTTAACACATGAATTAACCATCATGGGTGGTAGACTAAGTGGGTGAAAGTTTGATAAGAAACTGGATATTTTCATAGTTTCAAACTATATTTGTTAATTACAGAGAGAAATGTAGTAACTTCTTAGTAGAGAAACCAGGTAGACACCACCTCAACTGAGTGATCAAAATGAGCGTACTAGTAATAAGGCATATTGACGTCATGAAGCTCCTTATGTGATGCTCTGAGAAGGGCACAGCATTACTTTGTGGTATTTTGCCAAAGTGCAAAGCCTTAATATAATCAATATAAAATATGATACTTAATATAAAATTCAAATTGAGGGATATCTTACAAGGTAATTGGTTAGTACTGTTCAAAAGCGTCATGCCAGACAAAGAAAAACTGGAGAACTCCCAGATTAGAGGAAACTAAGAAACACAAGACCAACATGCATCGTGGTGTCCTGGGTGGGATCCAGAGGGCCGTAGGTCAGTTGCAACAGTATACCTTGTTAGTTCCTTGGTTTCAGTCACTGGAGTATGGTTATATAGATGTTAACATCTGGGAGAAGCTGGGCGAAGGCTAAATGGGAGACCTGTGTACTATTTTTGCAACTTTTCTGTAAGTCTGAAGTCATCTCAAAGTGAACGTTTCAGAAAAAAAAATTGCTTCCCTATAGATCTCCTTCCAGCTGAAAGGAAGGAAATCTTACCCCACTAGGACCCAAGGTCCTCTTTCTTCTCCTCCAGACCTTTTATGATCTGCCTCTGCGGATCCCTCTGGCCTCATCTTTTTTCTACCATGTTGGTCTCCTGATGTACTCTGGGCCTGTCTTCTTGCCATCTTGGGGTTTGATACCAACCCAACTCATATTCCTATACTTTCCGAGGGTCAGGGAAATGAGTATAGGATAAAGGAGAACCAAAGTTCATGTCCCAGATTGAGGCAGTCTTGGGAAATGAGGTACTTGGAATGATAGGCCCAGAGTAGGAGTGAGAAATGGCTCAGGTGAGATGCAGCAGGATTGGCAGCATTGGTCAGGTGGGCTGGTCCAAGCTCCTGAGGCAGGGGTAGTGGGTAGTGCTAGGAAGACAGCCGTGGTGAGAGGAACCAAGCTGGCTCCCATGGCTTGCTGTTCTTTTGCACAGTCTGATGGTGTGTACCTCTGGGTACTTATGCTCTTCTCTTTGTCCAGGCTGCCTGGTTTTTCAATCTCCATCTAGCAAACTTTTTTCAACTTAATATAGCCACTTCATGCATTAAACTGGTGGCTCCCTTCTCTGAGCTTCCACGGCACCCCTTATATTTCTTAGTTTCTTTGGATCAGGCCTTTTGTCATTCATTCCTGTAACTCTTGTGACCCCAGCACATAGTAGATGCTTATGAAAGGTCTGGATGGATGGTTGTATGGGTGGGAGTTCACTCAGTCATTCACTGAGCAACAGTCACAATACAATACAGTAAGCTCCATGCAGGCCTTGGGAATACTGAGATGAACGAATTAAAGTCTCTTTTTTTTTTATTAAGAGATTCTGTATAGGGTACATGTGCCAGAGAGATAGAAACAGAGAGACAGAAAATGAGAACTCACCCCCCAAAGGGGATGGCCACACTGCAGTTCCTTTTCCTCCATTTTCCTCTTGGGATTTTGGGCATGCAGACACAAGCACCTGGCGTGAGTACCAAGCCAGGACTTGAACCACAGTTGACCAAGTGGGTGTCTAGTGCCTTAACCACTGTGCCACCTGTTGGCCTCAAAGTCTCTGTTCTTATGGAGCTTCTACCTTAGAGATGGAGCCATGTGAGACCAGCAGATGATGTAATAGTCACATCACTGGACTGCCACTTAGTTGACCATAGTTCAGGTCCCGACCTAGTGACTTAAAAAAGCTCACATCAGGTGTATGCCCAAGATCCTGAGAGGAAAATGGAGGAAAAGGGATTGCGGTGTGGCCATCCCCTCTGGGGACAGGATTTCTCGCTTTCTCTCTCTCTCTGTCTCTGTCTCTCCAGCAAGCACACATGTCCTGTAGCAAAAATCTCTCTTAAAAAATAATAACACCTAACCAGTTCCACATGCAGTTGCTACCTAGAAACCTGCCTGCCCAAAAGTCTTTTGGGTGTAATTCTTGTCTAAAATCTTTCTTTCCTATTAAATTCTCTTTTCCACGAATTTTTTTTTTTAAAAAACATGTAATAAGTAAGCAAACAAGTGAAATTTTTTTTTTTTTAAAAAAAGCATGTAATAAGTAAGCAAACAAGTGAAACAATTACAAAGTGTATTGAATGCTATACAGTAAGTAAATTGCTGGTATAGGAGAGAATAGATTCCGGAATGTTGTCACGTTGTTGTTGTTAGATGGCTCGTTTGTAAACTTCATCTTTTTGCTCATGTGCTTTTCTAATTCTTTTACAGTGAACATGTATTATGGGGGGTTTTTAAGGCTTTCCACCTGTCCTATCATTTTATCCTTCTGAGTTCCCAACATAACCTGTCTCCTGTAATGATGGAGGTCTGGGAAGATGGAGCCCATTGAGTTGAGGTCATGCATTAGGCTTTACCCAAGAGATGACCAATGGGCAAGTAAGTGGCCAGCACACAAAAACGTGGTCAGCTCTATTGAGAGGAATCAGGCAACACCACAACAGGAAACAGATGATCTTGGATCTGGAAGGAACATTAGCATTTGGAGAATAGGCATGATGGCATCCATCTATAATCTTTGTCACTTGGGATAAAGAGACTGGAAGATCATGAGTTCAAAGCCAGCTTGGGCAATATAGTGAGACTCTTGTCTCTAAAGGAAGAACATGTTTTTAATGTGAAGGAAGGAATTGGGCAAGTTATTCCACCTCTTTTAGTCTAAGCCTTTCACTTGTAAAATGGGGACAATAACACATACTTCATTGGGTTTAGGGCTAATTAAATGAGATAGGTATATAGACACCCCACCACCACCAGCACCACAAGTAACAACATCAGTGTAGTTTCTGATACTTAGGTCATCAGGAGCTATTTTGGGCTTTAATGTAACACTAGTCACAGCTTTGGGGAGTTCATCCCTTTTCACTATTCTGATTCATTTAACAGGTCGAGGACACTGGTTAGTGGCTCGGAAAAGTAACCTCAAGAAGCAGCCCAATGATATGGTTAGTTCACCAGCCGAAGGTCAGGAAGTCCAGAAGAAGGTCTCCTTTGAAGTCGGGGGGAAGAAAGGGTC